GGACGCACGTCAAACAATAGACCGCAAGAACTTTTCGTATAAAGCATGTGTTAAAGACAGAATGGTGTAAAACGAATTCTATAGCGCAAATATATATTCCATGTATCACTCTCCGCGTAACCGATACTTTTCGAGGAGCCAGTCGAGTATGAATATCAAATTATAATTCGCGACGACGATCGTCGTATGAATTATAGAATAGGATCTTTGTTAAATTAATTCTAAACTTGGCAGAGTCAAAGAAACGAGTTCGAAATTGTATTATAGCGAAAAATATAAAAAAATTATATATATGTAAAAGCTATATATATAAAAAAATTCATAAATTTACAAAATGATATTCAGATATAAAAGTATTATTTTAATATAATGCAATTTTTTTCTAAGATTTATTTATGACATAAGAATACGATTGTGATAATTTGGACGACATATGCAAATATGATTTATACAGAGTCTGCGCATTTAAAAAACGATATATTGCCAAGTTTAGATTCTTCCGATTATCCTCGCACGCAGAGAGCTCCATTGGTCGCAGTCGATTTCGCAAAACGATTGTTTTATAGACATAGATATATTTCGTTCTCGGTAATAATTTATTCGAATTTTTAAACGTTATTTTTGTTAATTTTTTTTTGGAACAAAGGAATGAAAGCGTTAGGTAAATTAGTTCTTGAGTTACGCGCATTATTATTCAAATATCAATGTAACGTATTATACATATCGAATTAAAATCGAAGAATACGATTATTACTTATTTTCTAAAGAGGAAAGAAAATCGGTTCTCTTGTGAAATCCTTGAATCGCGCGTTCATATAAATCCACAATCGTCCAAAATAGTCCCGAGAATCGTCAGATTTTTGTGTGAGAGAAGAGTGAAAATAAAGAGGGCCGAACCGCGCGATCAAGTGGATCGAACATGCCTAACGAAAGATTTTACTGCGAAGAGTTCTTGACTAAGTCTTTTGCGAAATCTTTTTAAGCGTAAATTATTTGTGCGCTCGCGAGATAGATCGGAACATTAAGAGGAGGAATAAGTTAATGAAAGTAACAAAACGGACAATTCAACCAAGCAATTCAATATATTATATCCACGTATTTGCGAAATTTCTTATATTTCGTAAATCTGGTTCTATTGTCCGTTTTATTTTTTTCGCTCAATAGTGATAATAACGATGATCTAAAACAGAAAGTTCCCAAGATTCTCTAGGACGATCATGTTATCGGATCGTCACATGGGTTGTACGATAACAATTGCAAAAACAATTAGATAAAGATGATATGCCGCGAAAACTGATTAACTATATATAAAATGATACACATAATAATAATCTATAGATCTATAGATTTTGACAATTTTACTGTTTAAAAGAATAACTCTTGAACTTTAGTTCCAATATCTATAGAAATTTTGTGTGTAAAGTTAATTACTTTAGCAGAAAAAGTCTAAAATTTTTAGTAGCAGAATTCTAAAACAACATTTCATTAAAAATTATGAAATGCTGTATTTTGTTAAGACATCATCAATATAGTTATTATTATATTAGTGACGGCATAATTTTTAAAGAATTTCATTCATGTTCAAATCTCATTGATAACGACAATTAACATAATCTTAACTTCAGAAAAATTTGAAAGACATTTAGAAAGACTTTAAGGATAAGATGAATTTTTTTCATTTGAAAAAATTAGGACCTATTTGAGTATGAATTTCTACAAGGTTCTTTAAGTTTTTATATTGTCTAAATGCTGCATGTCTCCTTAATCTAATTGTGCTTGCAATTATGCCTCTTTAGGGACTACGTTTCCATAAGAGGCAAAAGATATTTTTTTTTTGTGGCAGCGATGATCGTTATCCACAAAAACAATTCTGATTAGCAGAGTTTCAAAACGATATTTGCCAAGAAAAATAAACAAATGTAAGCATGAAGTGTGCACGACTGACCGCATATCATATGTAATATATCCATTGTCGCTGCGGATAAAATCTACACGTACGTATAATCGTGAATATATCAACGAAGCAGCATAAACGTCTTCGCGTTCAAAAAGCATTTGTTCGAAAATCGTTGGCACTTCGTCTCTTACACAGGGTATCTCGTAAGCTAGGAACTTAAACAAGGGTAAAGTACGAAGAAAAGAAAGTTCAATTTATTTTGAAAATAAGAAAAATTTAGAAAAACAGCGTTATGATTTCGAGAAAATATTTCTAGTTTCAATTTTTTTCCAATGTACATATCAATATCTATATTGATTTTCGAAAATATGCGACCACGGAATTCGAGATGGAAACACCCTGCATACTATACGGCAAGATCGTTATATTCCTTTGCCGATCGATAATCGACGGTTTCTTTGCCTAGTCCTGAGAAGAAATCTGTCAATGTTCCTACGTGAATACGCACTGATCCCGTGCAAGGTTTAGCGTATACGGGTAATATAGGTATAGTCGCGGAAATTAGCGTTTAAAAGAGAGGGAAATACGCATGCGAGGAGAAGAACGACGACAACGATGACAAACATAAGAGTTTCTAATTAGCGTTCTCGAGCGTTTCGGTTAACGAGAATCGATTTACGTCGGGAAGAGAGAAGATAATATACATCTTCGAACTGTAAAATCAGTTTTTCACTATCACTTTTCTCTAGTCCCTACTCACTTGACATTTTTTGCATCCAGCAAATAACATGACATACTTCTCTCTCCTTTTCTCTTGAAAAAGAAAAGAAAAACGAAGATAAGATCAGTCTAGAATCAGGCATTGCGTATAATCAATTGCGCTCGACCTCGCTTGCGAAACTTACGCGACTTGGAGTCCGTTGCGTTTACGAGAATGCGCCGTAAATCTTCGAAATTGCGTATCGCAGGTATATTTTTTAACTGCGTCAGAAATGAAGCAGAGAAAATATTATGAAGCATTTATATTATTTCATTATAGCAAACTGTGGACTTAATCTTTCCTATCTAACTTATTCAGTTTTAGATAGTTTAAAACGATTTATATAAATCGTAAAAATGGATTAAGCTTAATAATTTGTAGGATTAACTTCAAATACGACTCAGTATTTAAGAATCTTATGCAAATTATAGATTAATCCAATTTAGTTTCCAATGTCTTTAGTGACTTTAATTTTCTTGCTTTTTAAATTTCCGTGAAAAATAATAGATGGATTTAAAAAAAAAGAAAAAAAAATAAGACTTCTGAGAAGAATCTCGAGAAAATTTAAAGTCCACAGGTATCGTTGCATAACAATTTTTTTTGTTTTAACGATAAATTTGCAATTACTTATAAAATTCGAAGGCATTCTTCTATTAGAGTGGGTTTAGCGATTTAATCTACTTTTTAAAAGCTTCAGAAAATTCAAGTTGTGAAAATTTAAATTTAAAAATGCTACATCTCATTTAATTTCATTCTATATCTCAAATTAAAATTAAGTCAGTTAATTAAATTTGTTGAAATTAGATCTAGTTTTATTCCAACTGATTATAATATCGATTGAATTTCCTCAGCTTTATTAATTTCCTCAAGTCTTTAAAAAGTGAAACCTTGTCTAAGATGTGATATCAATCTTAATTCAATAGCTATAATAGCACCATGCTCAAATCGTTTCCATCATGTATCAATAAGTATAAATACGTCGCACTATTATATTCTCTCTTTCACACTCAAAATATCAGGAAATTATATTTTTTCGCTTTAGCGATGCGGACGCAAAATCGCAAACCCCTCAGTACAGAAAAGACACTCTCTTAGGATATTTTAGGATTGTCACTAAAGGAATACGGAAAATAATCGAGGAGTTCGCCCGAGGAAAGAACATAGAAAGGATAAATAGCGGCAACTTTAAGAATAAAGTGGATGTTTCCACGTTCGAAATTTAAATTAAAAAAGAATGTGCGCGCGATGCACACACAATGTGGAAAAGGCGGAAGATGGAACATAATAGAATGCAAAATGACATAAATAGAATGCAAAATATAGAATAGCAATTGTAATTTAAATACGTCGCGCTTCTCATGCACCTTATTATTTTTCGGGTGAACTCTGTTTCCGTCGCAATTAGAAAGTAAAATTAATGTTAGAGTGAGGCGCAAATGTGTAAACGCGCGGATACCTCAGGAAACAACAGCTCAATCTTTCGAGAAGGGATTTCTTACAAAACAATGAAAAAGAAACCGCGCTATATATAATTGTACTATAAATCATACATTCCAAGGAAAAATGATGAGAGTTCGGATTCAAATGAAATTTGTAGTGTCGTAGGAGAGGCGAATGGAAAGTGTTAATTTATGTGTATGTGTTTCGCGTTTTTTTTTTCTTTCTGTGCTATAATGTTTATAATATTGTTTCTTGTGTAATAAATCCGGGGACGTGCCCGCCCATCGAGCGCAGGTGCAGCAACTTAATGATAAATTAATTAATTAATCGATGAATGTGTCATTATTGCATGTAAACAATCGGTCCATCGACCTGCGTGGCGGCAGATGAAGCGTTTTATAATATACAGCGCAGCATAATATTTTTATATAATATAATCTAATCTAATTTTGATATAAGAGCCAAGAGAGGATGTATTGATCTATTAATGTTTGTTTCGGAAAAAGAAAGAAACGAGTCGAAGTCGCCCGAAATTGGGATTTGTTGTATTGAAATGAGGAATAAAGAAGATTTTGTATATTGCTATTTTTAATAAAAACTAAATATTAATATCACACACATACATCCCTTCGTCTCGCGATAAATGTGGCGATCAGAACCGAATCTTTTTCTATTTATATTTTATATGTTTCAATAAGATTTAATTAATTCCAAATATAATAATTAAATTATTTATTTTTAGGAGATTTATAATTAACTCCAACATAATAATAAAATTATTTTTAGAAGATTTAATTACATAAAACTTCGATATATACCATAATAAAATTATCTTTATACTTATTCTATTCGCTGTTTGTGTTGCAAATTATTATTATTATTTTATTTTATTACTTTGGTCGTTGCAGGAAATCTTTCTCTTTATGGAAACAAAAATCAACAGATTATCACATAATAATAAAAATTATTTTCACTTGTAAAAATAGTGCTTAAGACTAGAAGTCAGACACATAACTTGTTCATCACAATAACATCACTTCGAGTCACTTTTAACTTTGATAAAACTGGAAAAATACGTACGTTCGCGTTATCCATCGTCCACTCTCTCGAAGCTATCGTCCGATTCCTCATCGTCGCTCCAAGGCGCGCTTGCGATTGTATATCTTTTCATATCTTCGGCATGGAGCTCCGCGTTGCACCTGGGACATTGGAACGCGCTCATTGCGGTAAAGTGCGCTTGCAGGCAGTAATAACAGAACAAGTGTACGCAGCCAGCGTGCGATGGCAGAATCGGGTCTTCGTAGCAGTAGGCGCACTTGGTCGCGACATTCATCACCGGCAACAATCCAATCGACGGTTTTGGTCGTCGCCACAGCCTCATCACTACGTGCTTCAAATAGTGGACGTTTATCATGGGTATACCGATCGTGAAGAGTTCCATCAGACCATGCCAAAGCAATTCTCTCGTCATGTACGAGTAACCGATGATTCTGGGTCGATGTGTCGTTATCGACTGACTGGACAGATCAAGCAGAAGCTCTATCACGCGCGGTTTTATACCCCGATGGAGGAAGAGAAGTAGATTGACGAGCTCCAGGAGATTGATCGCGTTCGTTATCCAGTCGACGAGCGACTTTAGCGCTCGGGCAAACGCGCCACGTTCGGACAGGTTCTCGTAGGCCAATTTGTCTTTCAAGTACTGAGGTACGATGTTTAGAATTAAATAGAGTATAGCTTTCCTTTGATTGATGTTGGCGTAGTGCAGATTGAGAAGCCGCTGGCCGAATGTGGAAGAGCCTCGTTGCAACGAGAATTTCCAGATGAAAAATTTCAGAACGGCGTCCACTTCCGCTTGCCATTTGTCGATTTTACCCGGCGTGCAGTATTTAGCGATCTCTTTGGTTTGATTCCTCAGCATCTTATAAATTTCACCGTCCAATTGAGCAGCATCGATCTGATTTATTCGCGAGACGTAAAGTGACGGCGTCATCTTGATCGGCTGGAGGAACTCTGAAAAAATTTTATTTTTATGTGATAATTTAATGCAACGTAAAAAAATCAATTTTGAATTGAAGAATACATGCCACGAAATTTAATTTTTTTTTTAATATGTACATGTACTTGCGATATGTTTTCATATAAAAGAATATAAAACATAGATGATATCAAGTAGAAGCAATTTAGGAAAAATTGTGATGTTACGCGATACACTTTTGACAATAATTTTGTGATGAATTCTTGACATGAAAATGATTTTTAAGTGATGCTTTAGTTAAAAAAATCATTAAATTATTTATTTACAACTAAAATATCACTTAAAAATCATTAAAAAATAATTACTATATCAATTCATCACAAAATCATCGTAAAAAATATATTAATGCTCAATTTCTTCATTTCTAAATAATTTTATTCATGAGATATCTCCTAGCATACAACGGAGATATCTCCTGGATAAGGTTATTCGCAACTTATCTAGAAGTGAAGAAATTGGGCATAAAAGTTGGAAAATTTGTGTTAAATATACTTCACGTATTAAATATATTTCATGTTGCTCAAACGGTCCATTCAAATTTTTGTATAAATTAATAAGATGAATATATATGTTAGAAAGTTAAAATATTATGTAAATAAATTAACGCAAAAAAATGTAAAACTGATCCAATTTGTAAGCAAACTGTGTGGAAACACATTTTTTTCAGTAAAATTAAAATTTATAATATGTTGAATTAACATTTTATATTTATTCATTCATTTTTTTAAATTTACGTTTTAAAACACATTATTTTTGTTATTTTATATTACTGTTCACTTATTCATAAATTGTGTTATTTTGAAATATAATAAATGTTGAATATCAATTGATTATAATTATTTAATAAAATATAAAAATAACACATATAATGTTAAATTAATTGTCGAATATGTTAAACATTCGATAGAAAGTTCTAACAAGGACTTGAACGGACCAAATAAATTATCATAAATATATCGTTCATCATAATTTATATCGTTCATTCAAGTCCTTGTTAAAATTTTGTATTGAATAATGATGTCCATTAGATTTTTCCTAAAATGACGTAATTCAACTTGACATTATCTAGATTTTATTATGATTTTGTGTTCTACCTGAGATAAGTTATTGAATAAATCGACTGGTGACTACGTAAGACTCGCAAGAGCACCAAGAACGACTAAAAAACCACGATGACCTTGGAATTCTGATCTGTATTCAAAGAGCAACAAAGATACTTCGTCATTCGTAGAATCTAATTTTCGCATATCATTTCCCGTTTACCTAATCATATAAATGGCGTTTAATCTTTCCTAATGTCAACGAGAGACCGAGTATATACGAACGATCGTCGGAAACTCGTAGTGATACCGAGCGAAAGTTCACTTTCAAATCGTCTCACTCGAAGTGAACGAATGAAGTTAGTCACGAGTGATCGTGTGAAGAATGCATTCGTTCAAAACTCGTATGCTACGCCACGATCGAGAAATAATCGTTTACGTACGATAGAGCGATCGAACGAGAGACTTTCAGTTGACAATTCGTATGCTCCTACGAAGAGGTTAGAATGACACCGCACGATCGATCGCTACACGCAATCACGTCCACATCGCATCATACACGCCGCCGGAATGATTCTCCGCACTCCGCACTACTCCGCAGTTAGCCGAGATGTACGCCGGCCGTTCAGAAACGAAAACAGCCGAACGCGCGCGAACGGGCGGCGGGGGTGCACATTCGGCCACTTTCAGGCAACTTCAGGCCACTTCGGAGTCGCGGGCGCGTTCGGGTCGATTCGGCGCGGCTCGGCCGGGACTTCGTTTCAGTTCGGGTCCGTGTCTCGTCGCCGCTGCGCACGGGGTGCGTCCGCTGCCGCGGCTGACACTGTATACGCTCTCTCACACTCTCTTTCACGGCTACTCCGGCGCGAACGTTTTTGAGGTTAGGCGGCGCACGGGCACGGTTTCTCCGGCTAATAGCGAACGGTGGACTACCCCGTCGTGATCGTTGTGCGTGGTTCGCGTCGTGGTGTTCGTGTTCGCGCGTACGTACGTCGGTGGGCTCCATGTTGCCGCCGGTGGTATGACGTCATCGAGTGTCGGTGGTGTCGCGCGTGTGTACCCGTTGTCGTCGTCGTCGTCGTTCCCGTCCCCATCCCTGTTCCCGTTCCCGTCTCCGTTGTCGTTTCTCTCACCCGTCGTTGTTGCACGATGCTTGCAACCCTGTCGCGCGTCATGCTGCTCTCGTGATAAAGTTTGACGTTGTCTCTCCCTTTCTCTTTCTCTCTCTCTCTCTTTTTCTCTCTCTTTTTCTTATCTCACGCGAAACGCGGAGTGTACAGCCACCGCCGTCTCCACCGTCATCGGCGGCTGCCACGGCGTGCGTACGTGTGTATGCGACCTCGTCGCTTCTCCCGCACGTCTCTTCGTCGCTCTCTTTCTCTCTCTCTCTCTCTCTCTCTCTCCCTCTCCCTCTCTCTCTCTCTCTCTGTAATCACCGTCTCTCCACCTCCGCTATCTCCGTCTTCTACGGACAGACGGACGGGACGCCCGCATCGGGAGCCGCACCAGTCACCCGCGGAACACCGCGGAACGTCCGCACGGCTCTGCGAATCCAGGTGAGTGCCAGAAATTACATAATATTGCTGTCGCGCGGTCGAACGCGGTCCGTCTCCGCCTCTCGTTCTCCCTTCCGCTCGCCGTAAAATCGATTCGCTATCGAGTGACAGGTTAACCTCTAATTCGGCTAGGCGAAGAGAGCACCGGGAAAGAAGCGTCGGGTCGTCTTGTCTTTCGCCGCCGGTTCATCGTCGTCGTCCCTGCTTTTTACGCGTTCACACCGACATTTACATTTCCACTCACAATATCGTACCGCGCGTTTTTTATCATATCGGTATATGTGAGTGCTCCGTTTCTCCCCTTTCTTTTTTAATGGGAACAAGCTTTTTCTCCACGGAGATCATCCTGCTCCAAAACAGCTTCGCCGGAGAAGTGGAGTTCTTGGAGCAGCGACTGTTCCAGGGAGAGTTCTCGTATTGTACATTGCACAGGTTAGGCCAATAACACACAGCAGACCAAAGGTCTGTTCGCGTTGTTTGAAATCCTCGAAAAGGTGTCGGCCAACTAACTACTGTGTCGTTCATGGAAAACCCTTGGCAATGTGGAAAGAACGTAGAAAGGAACTCAAAAATATCTAAAAATTTAGCTTAGCTATAGATCTGATAATTTTTTTTGTTCGATCATAAAAATAATTATGTGGGACGTTCTATTCATTGCTAGAATGCCAAAACTTACAGCATTGTTTATCTAAATTTTTTCGAAATTTTTGCATAATTGTTGGGTCATCAAAATAATTGGTAGGAATCTCAAGAATAATGAACAATGCTGTAAAAATTTTTGATAATCTAACAAGTATTCCATATAATTATTTTGATAATTATATAGTTCGAAAGGCTCAAGCTTATGGTTAAATTATTTGGATAATTATATAGTTTAACAAATTATAATATTTTCGAAGTCGTATATACAGCTACATTTTTAGATACTTTAGCAAAACCGTTTTTTCTGTATGTTATTTTGAAGTGTACGGCCGCAATATGCACGTTACTGGGTCGATCTTTTCCGTCGTCGACAACATCGTCATCGTGTCATTCACGATCATTAAGTCGAGGCACTTACTGGGAGCTCGGCTAAAGAATCCAGATTGTGAACTTTGAAATAATAGCGCGATTATTAACTGATATTATTTATCCGCTGCTGTTTAATTACCGTCATCATATTGTCATTACCATCAATGGTTATTATCGCTCTGTTATGACGTTGTTACCTAGTTTCAGAAAATTAGTCTCATCGTTGCGATTATAATTGTTAGTTACGTTAGATTTACCATTATTGTTAAACCGATTAAAGGTGCTATTGTGCTATTGTGCTACATTGTTTTTCGATTTATCGTTAATTATTCAGATAAAATTCTGGGATTATCTCAAGGTAAATATTTTTAATTGCTAAATCCATATTAAAGAGTCCGACGCGAATTAAAGTTTCACGCTGACCGGATTCCAAGTGTTAAAGGGAAACTGCAATGTAATTGCATTTAAAATGTGAGCATATTGTTGCAAAGTATACATATGTACGTTGAAATACATTATCTCTCTTGTAGATTGTTTTGTCTGGATGTACGATTAATAATAGACTTTGACTGAAAGAGGAAGTAATGTCAATCGCGTAAAAATACTTATACTACATGAAAAGAATGGTTTGCTGAAGTTTATTTAAAAATTTACCTAGATACAGGTTCGAAAATAATTTTATTGGATCAAATAATTATGTAGGACGCTTAAACTGATTGCCAGAATATTAAAACTTCTTGCAGCATTGTTATCAACGTTTAAGCATTATGAATAATTGTTTTAATGATCCAACAAACTTGTTTTCAGTTCTGTGTATCTATGTAACTAAATTTTTAGGTACTTCATCGAAATCATTTTTTCCATATATATAAAAGTACTTAGACTGAAAGAAATGATTAGTACGAATAACCATTTATTTTGTTGATATATGCATGAATTATTCCAAACATTATTCTAAGTTTTGAATAGAACAATAAAAATTTTTTAATTAAAAAGTAAGAAGATTTTTGTAAGTTACGTATCAACAAAATAAATAATTATTCATGCTAGATATTCCTCTCAGTGTATATAAAAATCTTGATTAATGATATAATTTTATATATACTCTAAATCTGTAGCAATGAAATTTCATTGCATTAAATTGAAATTTCAATACAGGCATTAGTGGCAATTGCGCCAATGTTAGTAAATTTTACAGCAAGATGGGAATAGAAAATATCCATTCGATAATTAGAATAAAAAATTTATTCCAAAAACAAGTGAATTTGAAGGTTAAAATAATGACAGAATAATGTCATTCTAAATCCAGATAACAAAACCTACGGAGACAAATTTTGAACAGAGTATGCTATCAATTTATTAACCTATTAACTTTATTTTTAATTATTTTATTTTGTCTCTTATATTTATATTAGGTGTAGTAAAAAGTCATCGCGTATTTTTTAGCTCAAAGTTGTACATACAATATCTTCGTCAATAATGAATGAAATTCAAATTTAAAAAAAGGGTTTTAAAGCTTGAAATCTCTACTTTTAAAAGCTTATCACATTTTTTAAGTTTATATGAGTTTGATAATTTTTACATACCAAAAACTACGAGCTGAAAAAGACGAAAAATTTTCTTCTCACTTTGTGGATTTGTAACGTGTCCAAAACGAATTTGAGAAAATTTTCGATTACCTATCGTGAAAGCTTGATACTTTCCCTACAAAATCGTTTTTTTTTTAAATATTCCTACGACTTTTGATTACTGAGTTATCGCGGATTAAATAAAAGAATTATTTTGACTTTAATTGCTCATAACTCCATTAAAAATTGTCGTATCGTATAATTTAAAAAAGAGATTTTTAAAGCTGAAACTTTACTCTATCAAGATATATTTATATTGTTGGTAAGAAAGTAATTGCGGTTTTTACTGATAGATGTCTTTTAAAAATACGCGATGACTTTTTACTACACCTAATATTATATGTATCTCAAAACGCGTCTCACCCGTAACGATCATGACAAACATGCGGCAAACATTTAGTCTGTCTACTCTTACATAAAGGAGTGGACTATTTCATTCGATTAATCGAATGGAATAGTCCACTCCTTTATGTAAGAATAGACAGACTAACTTCAAAGCAGTAAAAATCCATACTAAAAGCAATGACTTTGCTATTCACTTTTGTTAGCAGTAAAATTTTCATTGTCACAGATTTAGAGTGTATGTATTATTCTTTTTCTTATACAAGTTCAAGATAAATTAATATTTAATCAATAAATATAAGAGTCGTTAAATTCATTGAATTGGTAAACAAATTATCTTCTTCATTTACGATATAGATAGAGAGAGTGTCCTAATTCCCCCCCCCCCCACTCCCCGAATCGTCTTTTATCTTGATAAACTTCATTATTGTGTGACTTTTCCTCTTGAAACATTTATCACATGCTAGCTTTTAACGTTGAATATCCTCGAATTAGTCCTTTAATCTATGGCATTATTGAACGCGAGTTTAGCTCACAATTATGAACGGTATTATCTGTCGACACACTTCTGTTTGTTTCATTTAACGATTCTTTTTAAAACCGGTAGTATCACAAAATGATACTATCGCCATGTCTTTTAATACCAGATATTACTTGATTAGATTAATTCGAATTAAGAGGGAGTAAAGTAGAAGCTTTTTATCGAAGCTTGCACAATCGCAGTTTGTCTACCAGTCGAACTCGCAATCGAACTCGCACCTCTGCCGAAGAATTCACGTTATATTGGCGGCGTGTTGCTTTGACAGTAGATCGACAGACGTAAATAGTCGAGTGTGTACATGATTTGCATATCTATTCGCATCTCCCCCTCCAATCTCTCTCTCTCTCTTTCTCTCTCTCTCTCTCTCTCGCGGTTGCTGCTTATATCGCTCTTGGCTCTGACCTTAATTTACAGTCCATGGCCGCCGACATGGAAGACTCATTCGCGCGAACGAGCGAGCTTTTCGGCGTGTTCGCGCACCTGGCGACGTTATTTATCGACGCGCCTAAATCCGTCGCGGCGGCGACGCCGACGTACGTCGATGTGTAACGCGTTAGGTTGTACTCGATCCCTATTATCGCCGAGGTAAATCCCGACGGTTTGTCGATATCACTGATAAATTGGACCCGGCCATACTGCACACTCCTTGCATCCTAGCCACGCTCATGTGGTGTTATTTGAGAGTTTTATTTACGTTGGCTATCGGTTATTATTGGTAGTTTTTCCTACTCCACTGTGCTCCACACTCTGAGAGATTCCGATATCAGTTCTCTCCCCGAGACTCATCTTGTACGAAATATTTTTGTGCGAGATATAGCGGACTGCCCGTTTTTCTGTTTGCACTGCCACTATAAGGTTTTTGACAGTATACAATTTATAATAAATTTGTGAAAATATTTATAATAAATATATAAGATTTGTGTAGTACGAAAGAAATAATGAAGATTGAAGTGTATTCGCGGATTAATGTTCATTTCTATCAATATAGATGAATATATAATCTGAATTTAATTTTTTTCTAGTTCTTAGAATTAGAAAAAGATAGAAAAATAAGTTAAATCGAGATCGAGGTTAATCTATGTAGACACAAGTCTTTAATGAAGAGTAAATGGTTGAGAAGCATACTTTTTTTTGGAATCTGTTTTATAATGGGAATTTGATATGTGACTTTTATTTTTTAGACGTGTTTAAAATTAAGAGAATTTTAATTATACATTAAATTATGCATTCTGTTGCGCGTGCAACGATAAGAAATTTGAAGAATGTACATTCAGTCCGTTTATACATATAATCAATGTTTGCGATCTG